ATGTATAAAAATATTGAATCACTGTGTTGTGCACCAGGAATTAACATAGTATTATAGATAAATTATAATTCAAAAATAAACAAACTTATAGAAAAATAGATCAGATTTGTGGTTACCAGAGTTATTGGGTGAAGGTGGTCAAAAGGCCTAAACTTCTGGTTATAACAAAAGAAGTATTAGGGATGTAATGTTCAACTTGATTAATATAATTAATACTGCAGTATGTAACAGAAAAATCCTGAGAGTTCTCATCACAGGACTTTTTTCTTTTATCTTGTGTCTATATGTGATGATGGATGTACTGTAAACTTATTGTGGTAATCATTCATGGTGCATTAAAGTTAAATCATTATGCTATACGCCAAAAACTTATATAGTGCTGTATGTCAGTTGTATCCGAATAAAACTAGAAGAAAAAATGAAAATATAAAGAGCAAAACCAAGAAGAAAAAAAAAGCCTGATACATGTGTTATATGTGTGCTTTACTTTTTTTAACATATAGAAAAAGTAGAAAATTACACATTAAATTGTTAACATAGATTACTTTAGAGGTACGAAATTGAAAGAGAGAGGAGAAAAACTATTTATATTTTTATATATTTTGGTTTAATTTGAACTATTATCACAATCTTATTTTCCACTTGAATTTTTTTAAAGCAACATAGAATACAATGAATGGTGTTCCCAGTTTGGGCAATTAACATTCTTGAGTGCTCTGAAGCATTTGAAAGCAGTATTAATAAATAATAAAAGTTAACTGATAAAAGAACATTTAAAATTTTATTCATATTTATTCCATCTAGCCTGCTACATTTTTCTTTGCCCTGCTACCTTCAGTACCAATTATCCAGAATTAATGAGGTTTGTTTCTATAAAAACAGAAGCTGTATAGGGCAGAATCAGCATGATATCAAACAGACCTGAGTTAAAAATCTCTGGTGTGTCACTGGATAACCAGACTGGTCATTTAATTCCCTTGTGCATCAGTTTCCTCATCTGTAAAATTGGTACCTGATTATTCCAAGGAGGATGAGAGTTAGAGATAAGAAATACAACTCACAGAGAGCAGTGAGTGTCATAAACACTCAATACATATTTGCTTTTGTTATTAGAACTGTGTCTGAATGTCTCCTATAGAGGTATAGGTCGTCAGTGGCCTGCCCCAGGGGCTCTGGGGGCAGCAGACCTGGGTGTGGCATAAGCCCTCTTGGAGGGCACAAACAAAATCTTGTGAGCACAAGGACCCAGGAGAAGGGAGCAGTGATGCCACAAGAAAGTGACCAGACATGCCCATGAGTGTCCAGGAGTCTCCGGTGGAGACATGGGTTGGCAGTTGCCTGCTTCAGGGCTGGGGGCATTGAGTGCAGCAATGCTTGCATGGGACCTTTTGAAGGAGGTTGCCATTATCTTTATCACCTCCACCATAGTTTGCCCTCAGGTCAAGCAACAGGGAGGGAACATAGCCCTGCCCATCAATGGAAAATTGGATTAAAAATTTAGTGAACAGGGCCCAGCCCATCCAAATAGGACCCAGTTTTGCTCTCAGTCTCTTCCATCAGTAAACTTCCATAAGGATCTTTTCCCTATCCATCAGAAGGCAGAAAGAATGAAAACCACAATCACAGAAAACTAACCAAACTGATCACATGGAGCACAGCCTTGTCTAGCTCAATGAAACTATGAGTCATGCTGTGTAGGGCCTCCCAAGATGGACGGGTAATTGTGGAGAGTTCGGACAAAATGTGGCCCACTGGAGAATGGGATGGCAAACTACTTAAGTATTCTCACCTTAAGAACCCTGTGAACACTGTGAAAAGGCAAAAAGGTATGACAATGAGAGATGAACTCCCCAGGTCGGAAGGTGCCCAATATGCTACTGGAAAAGAATGGTGAAACAACTCCAGAAAGAATGAAGAGACAAATCCAAAGCAAAAACAATACCCAGTTGTGGATATGACAGATGATGGAAGTAAAGGCTGATACTGTAAAGAGCAGTATTGCATAGGAACCTGGAATGTTAGGTCCATGAATCAAGGCAACTTGGAAGTGGTCAAACAGGAGACGGCAAGAGTGAACATCGACATTTCAGGGATCAGTGAACTAAAATGGACTGGAATGGGTGAATTTAACTCAGATGACCATTATATCTACTACTGTGGGCAAGAATCCCTTAGAAGAAATGGAGTAGCCACCATAGTCAACAAAAGAGTCCAAAATGCAGCACTTGGATGCAATCTCAAAATGACAGAATGACCTCTGTTTGTTAAGGCAAACCATTCAATATCACGGTAATCCAAGTCTGTGCCCTAACCAGTAATGCTGAAGTAGCTGAAGTTGAACAGTTCTGTGAAGACCTACAAGACATTCTAAAACTAACACCCAAAAAAGATGTCCTCTTCCTTACAGGGGACTGAAATGCAAAAGTGGGAAGTCAAGAGCTACCTGGAGTAACAGGCAAATTTGGCCTTGGAGTACAGAATGAAGCAGGGCAAAGACAAACAGTTTTGCAAAGAGAACACACTGGTCATAGCAAACACCCTCTTCCAACAACACAAGAGAAGACTCTAAATGTGGACATCACTAAATGGTCAATACTGAAATCAGACTGATTATGTTCTTTGCAGTCAAAGGTGGAGAAGTTCTATACAGTCAGCAAAAACAAGACCGGGAGCTGATTGTGGCTCAGATCATGAATTTCTTATTGCCAGATTCGGGCTTAAATTGAAGAAAGTTGGGAAAACCACTAGAACATCAAGTATGACCTAAATCAAAGCCCTTATGATTATACAGTGGAAGTGACAAATTAGATTCAAGGGATTATATTTGATAGACAGAGTGCCTGGAGAACTATGGATGGAGGTTCGTGACATTGTACAGGAGACAGTGATCAAGACCATCCTCCAAAAAAGAAATAGAAAAAAGCAAAATGGCTCTCTGAGGAGGCCTTACAAATAGCTGAGAAAAGAAGAGAAACTAAAGACAAAGGAGAAAAAATATATACCTATATGAATGCAGAGTTCCAAAGAATAGAAAGGAGAGATAAGAAAGCCTTCCTCAGTGATCAGTGCAAAGAAATAGAGGAAAACAATAGAATGGGAAAGACTAGAGATCTCTTCAAGAGAATTAGAGATACCAAGGGAATATTTCATGCAAATATTAGCACAATAAAGTACAGAAATGTTATGAACCTGACAGAAGCAAAAGATATTAAGAAGAGGTGGCAAGAATACACAGAAGAACTATACAAAAAAGATCTTTATGACCCAGATAAACACTATGGTCTGGTCACTCACCTAGAGCCAGATATCCTAGAATGCTAAGTCATATGGGCCTTAGGAAGCATCGCTACGAACAAAGCTAGTGGAGGTGATGGAATTCCAGTTGAGCTATTTCAAATCCTAAAAGATAATGCTGTGAAAGTGCTGCACTCAATATGCCAGCAAATTTGGAAAACTCAGCTATGGCCACAGGACTAGAAAAGGTCAGTTTTCCTTTCAGTTCCAAAACAAGGCAGTGCCAAAGAATGTTCAAACTACAGCACAATTGCACTCGTCTCACACACTAGTAAAGTAATGCTCAAAATTCTCCAAGCCAGGCTTCAACAGTATGTGAACCATGAACTTACAGATGTTCAAGCTGGATTTAGAAAAGGCAGAGGAACCAGAGATCAAATTGCCAACATCCGCTGGATCATGGACAAAGCAAGAGAATTCCAGAAAAATATCTACTTCTGCTTTATTGACTATGCCAAAGCCTTCGACTGTGTGGATCACAACAAACTGTGGAAAATTCTGAAATAGATGGGCATACCAGACCACCTGACCTGCCTCCTGAGAAATCTGTATGCCGGTCAAGAAGCAACAGTTAGAACTGGACATGGAACAACAGACTGGTTCCAAATCAGGAAAGGAGTACATCAAGTCTGTATATTGTCACCCTGTTTATTTAACTTATATGCAGAGTACATCATGAGAAATGCCGGGCTGGATGAAGTACAAACTGGAATCAAGATTGCCAGCAGAAATATCAATAACCTCACATATGCAGATGACACCACTGTTATGGCAGAAAGCGAAGAACTAAAGAGCCTCTTGATGAAAGTGAAAGAGGAGAGTGAAAAAAGTTGGCTTAAAACTCAACATTCAGAAAACTAACATCATGGCATCCGGTCCCATCATTCATGGCAAAGAGATGGGGAAACAATGGAAACAGTAGCAGACTTTATTTTTGGGGACTCCAAAATCGCTGCAGGTGGTGACTGCAGCCATGAAATTAAAAGACGCTTGCTCCTTGGAAGAAAAGCTATGACCAACCTAGACAGCACATTAAAAAGCAGAGACATTACTTTACCACCAAAGGTCTGTCTAGTCAAAGCTATGGTTTTTTCAGTAGTTATGTATGGGTGTGAGAGTTGGACTATAAAAAAAGCTGAGTGCCGAAGAATTTATGCTTTTGAACTGTGGTGTTGGAGAAGACTCTTGAGAGTCCCTTAGACTGCAGGGAGATCCAACCTGTCCATCCTAAAGGAAATCAGTCCTGAATATTCACTGGAAAGACTGATGCTAAAGCTGAAACTCCAATACTTTGGCCACCTGATGCGAAAAACCAACTCACTGGATAAGACCCTGATGCTGGGAAAGATTGAAGGCCAGAGGAGAAGGGGGCGACAGAGGATGAGATGGTTGAATGGCATCACCGATATGATGGACATGAGTTTGAGTTGGCTCTGGGAGTTGGTGATGGACAGGGAAGCCTGGCGAGCTTCAGTCCATGGGGTCGCAGAGAGTCGGACACAACTGAGTGACTGAACTGAATTATCCTTGTATAGATACCCTCATTTGAGAGAGTCAGAATATACCTCATAAAATAGCCGTGGTGCAGGAAACAGAGTAGTTAAAATTTGGCAAATGTGACCTATGTTGTATTATCAGTGGTGAAAGCCTATTAGTACACAATTAAAGATTTGCATTTTCTTTCATTTTCCTTCCTCATCTTAAAGGCTTCTGGAGCAGATGCCCTGGAATTAAATTTATCGTGTCCGCATGGCATGGGAGAAAGAGGAATGGGCCTGGCTTGTGGGCAGGTAAGGACCTCAACAGCTGCCGTTATATATGTCTGTGACAGACAAGCCCCTGTATGGACAGTTACTCTACCTTAGGCAGGAAGATGGGAGGATCAGATGACTGGCTTGAGACTTCCAGGTCTGCATTGTTTAAATATTTAGTGCTTAAAAAGTAGAAAATTAGAGAAACTGAAATTACAGCAACTGTTTAGTTTTTATTGAGGAAAAGATCACATTATGTGCTTGACAGGAGGTAATATCATAACAAATCGTTTTTAAAAGCACTGAGGCAGAATTAGCTGATTTCAAATGCAGTGTTCTTTATTCATTCCTGATGCTGATCCACTTTCCCTGGAGCAATATACTGTACAAAATGCATTGTTCGTAGTGATTTTGTAGTAAATGGGGCACAGCACAAATTGCATTTTACATTTTTTAGCATATGATCATTATTCTCTAACTGTGTTTTGGGAGTTGCAAAAAGACTTTGATGATATTTTTATTTTTTGATACAATAAATGGAAACTTCATGCTAAAACTCTTTCAGAAACTTAGTGAATAAAATGTGGAAATCTGTGAAAATACTGCATCTTTATGTAACTAGATACAGTGTTATATGTTAAGGAACAATGTAAAAGCTTAATGCTAAAAAGGTGAGTATTTTGCATCTAATTTAACTTTTAAGCCCAGAGGGAAATGACGTGAATTAAATAATACAAATTTGTTGTAATTTATGACAAATTTCCTAGTCCTAAAAAGTTTAGTTTTATTTCCACATCTAACATGGAGCCTTATACATAGTAGGTAGTCAGTTCTTTTTTTTCTTTTTTTTCCTCCCCCCAAGTCATAGAATTATCTGAATTAAACTCAGAGGCCAGAGATGCTTAATTTGGACAGGCAGAAATTTCTGCTTATTCAAATGAACTTAGGTTACTATTTTCAGATTAGCATTCAGGGAGGATTTTAAAGTACCTTGTAAATATTTAATTAACATTCAGGATAGATTTGTGACTTGGGAAGAAACCATTCTTTTGTACCAGCAGGAGAAGGTGGCCTAGTCAGATGTTGTTCAAGTATACTCTCTACTCCACTCATAGCAGATTATCCAGGAGATCATTCAGTGTGGTAAGAGAACAAGCCTCAGAATTACCTGTAGAGGAAAACATCATTATGTTACATCATAATTTTTATAAGTCATGTGATTAGGCAGCAGTCAGTCTGTCAAGATAGGTAACTTGGTTAGAACAAGGAACATTCTTAAAAGGACATCTGGAGCAGGGCCCAAGGGAGTCAAGTTTCTCTCTTTACACCTTTCCCAAATATCTTTTAGTTACATGGATTAGAACAGCTATGGAAAATGGGAATCTATTGACTAAGTTTTAAAAGAAAGATGTATTTTCATATGTATTTTTTGCCACAAATATGAAAATTATTTTGAAAATGTTACCCAGCTTTAAGTTTATTTTTTAGAGCGGACTTTTGCTCTGTGAACACCTCAAAACTTACCCAGCTGTTAAATGTCTTAGGTGGATCCTCTCCAGAGAGTTATTTAGCTGCATAAAACAGCCTTTGGCTGAATGAGGATGCAAGTGCTAAAATTTTTCAGTCAGTTATCATTAAGATTTCTAAAACTCATGGAAAACATATGTTCCAAAAACCATTATGTCTTAGACTGAAGGAAATTTAGAAGCATTTCTGTTTCTCTTGTTAGTTATAATATCTAAAACTATAACCAATTCTACTAGCCAACTTTGGAATTTTTCTTTCAAATTATATTCTTTTGTACCTTGTATAATTGAAACATAAAGCTAATTTAATTATTTTGCTCCAACATAATTTAAATGGTTACTCTGCCTTGGGACACATGCATGTTCAATATTTTAGATATCAGGAAGGAAGACAATTAGCACATTGGAAAAAACTTTACTGTACCTCTGAATTTTTAGAGTGGGCACGAAGACATCTGGGGCTTATTCATTTTCTCCTTCACTTCCTATTTCCTTTTCTCTGCTTCCTGTTGCCATTGCTTTTTCCTCCCTCCCTAAGGTTTATAGTCTTAAACACTCACAAGCTGGTGGGATGGGGAAACTACACCCAGTACTGGGAGACTGAGGAACCATCCCAATTTGTCTTCCTCATCATAGTATGATCTGCATCCCGTCTGCTACAAGCTCCCTTTGTGCCAAGTAAAGAGCTATGTGTATCGCCAGAGCCTGAGAAACGTTTGCTTCATCAATGATTCAAACTGACATTGGTCCCATGGCTAGAGTATTTTTCCATTAGAAACACTCTCTTGTACTGTCACCATTTCTGGTGTTCCTAGAAATCATGATTTTAGCTCCTTAAGATGACTATAAGCAGAGTATAGTAATACAGTACATTTTCTTTCTCTAAACATTTTTTTTCTTCTTTATCTCAAATATTTTCTTGCAGATATCAACTAAGTGAAATACACTGCTTTTATACCTGAGTTTAATTAGTTTAATTATGCATGTAAATTTAAACTCTTTATATATGTTCCCATAGTGACTAAAAGTTGTGAAATATAGGAATAGAAAAGGCTATAACCTTTATGACATAGAGGCATCATATATATTTATGGAACTTATAGAAATAAATAAAATCTCAAGCTGACCTGTGAGTTTGAATTGTGTATTCCCTGCATGGTGAAACTTCATATAAAATCTTAAACACTTAGCAGGACACTCTCTAAGTGTTTAAAGGTAATCTCATTCTTTATTCTTTCCATCAACCATCTTTGTCACCTTGATCAAGCCACTTACTCTCCTGAAGCATCAGTTTCCATCTCTATAATATGGAATTTGAATTAGATGGTCTCTAAATCCCCTTCCAGCTGTAATATTCTTTAAATGCTGACATTATAGGCAACAAGCTAATATGTCATTTTTAAACTACTCATAAAGACCATTGGTAAAATAAGAACAACTAACTAAATAAAAATTGCATATTATGTTATTCTTTTTAAAAACAGTAACATTTTCCTGGCTTGCATGAAAGTCAATGTTTTATTTATTTAATATCTATTTTTTTACACAAATCAATTCTCACTTTTTGGTATATTCTATTTATTTGATGAATATCTAACTAGAAGTTGTTTAAAAAGTTTTGGTTTAATAGACATTTTGTACTTTACATTGTTAAAATAGAACCCATGAACTTTTAGTATGTCAGCCTGCTCTTCAATCACATTTTTTCCGTTTTAGTTAGTGGTTTCACCCAATAAACTTGATGCTCAAGCAAACGTAAAAACATGTTCTAGTTTGGGTGGCATATATAGTCCAAAGAGTCAGAGTTATATTACAATATGAAATTTTTTTTCTGTCTTTTCTTCAGTTCATAACAATCCTCTGAAGTAGGATGAGTTTCCATTCCATTTAACAAATTAAAAAAGAAGAAACAAAAAACCTGACCTTCCATGTTCCCCAGGTCACAAATCTGTCAATGGCTACCAGGCCTGAGCTTTAGTTAGCATGTAAGCCTGAATATAGGGAAGGCACAGAGAACAGTCCCTAATAAATCAGTATTTGAATATTAGTATAAATATTATCATTATTAACTTAAAATTAAGAGCAGGATTAAGCTCTAAACTCCCAAACAAACCCGAATGTCCTATGTAAGTGTTTTTTCTCTCAGGAATAAGGGAGCTCTGATGTCTTCATAATCAAATTTAAAGTTGTCTGCGTGCAATCTATGTAAACTAATTTCTGTGACAGCATATTACTTTATAAAGGAAATTGAACTATGATAAATTCTATAAAGTGCAGATGAAATGGCATCTCTTTGAGGTCTTCTTTTCTAAAATGCTAAGTGTCCATAGGGCATTAAGTGAATATTCCTCTTCTGTCCTTTCAGAATTATGCTGAATATTTTTACTTCCACTTCATAGACCCTCCTAACCTAGATTCACACAGTACCTGAATAGGCCTTGAATAGCTTTCTATTGTTATTGTGTTTATTTTGTTTTTTAAATTATTACCAACATTTTAAAAACAGGTGGCTGGACAAAAAGAAAAAAATCTACTTCTTTCATCTCTTGAAATAAAGAAGGTATGGCCACACTTGACCTATATTGACATGTGGAGATGAGGAACTAGAGCTTCATTAGGCTCCTTTAACCCTCTATGTGGTACACGTGAACAGCAGCTCACTCGTAAACAGTAAACACACGTAAGCTCACACACGTAAACAGTGCTCACTCAATACGGATTTTATCAGTATGTACCTCTCTGATTCAACCTTAAAGTACTGAAACCAAGCCTTCCCAGGATTTTTGCTGATTTTCTGGGTTCTTGCATTGAAGATTCTCTAGATTGCCTTCTTCAACCAGCAATACTTTTAATTCTTCGACCCTCCATCAGCTACCAAAAGAAAAATAGTAGGGAGTAGGGTGTGGGGTGTGGGATAAGTTGCCTTCCTATTTTATCTTCCACATAGCAAAACAGAAGAGCAGGAGGCAACATGTTCCACAGGACTTTATAATACTAGTTACATAACCTCCTTAAGAGGAATTTTTGTCCTTGCCATTACAGAGTATACACTTTTAAAGCTTTTCCTTATTTTTCATAGCAGCTGTTTTCTTCTTTGCCTTGAGTCAATGATGTGGCACAGACTCTCAGAATTGAAAGGAACCTTGAAGATTTACCAATTCAACCTCCTTATTTAGAGGACAGGAATTTGGGACTGGGAAGTGATCTAAATAGCCTTAGTCTGAGCTAACCAACTAGCAGAGCCTAGAGCATGTAATGCCCTTGTCATTGACCCCCGTCTAGTGTTCTGGCCAGTATTTTCTAATACGTCACCTGGGTGTAATCAAATCTCCAGTGAACTGAACAAGTCAGTCAGTTGCCGGGGAAACTTCCTACTCTGTACATTTTTGAATACTATTATTCTCTCCACCTGGAATTTGTATCTTTTCAACTGAAATTATTCAAATAAAATCCACCTAATGCTATGTTGGATGATCTCTAGTTCATTAATTGGGCATATATTATCAATGAAAT